AGGTAAAAAACATAAAAAAACACTGTCGGCCACTTGAAAATAATACTGTCAGGCGCCGTGGCCTAGGTTTCTCACTGCGCGGGAATTCAAATCCTCGTCCCCCGGCGGCACCTTTTTTGATTTTTTTTCATTTTCAACGGCGTTTTTCGGGGATTTCGGATTTCTTTTGAATTTTTTCGCAATAATATTAGGAAAATAGATAAATTTTAACACATTTTAATGCAATAAAAATTTTTGGTCGGAGTCCCCCTTTAAAAATACGTTTTTGCATATCTCCTTGCCTTTTCTATTCTCCTATTATCCGGTGTTATATCATTACTCTCCCGTTATCCTTTTTGTTGTCTTTTCCCCTAACCTCTAATAGTAAGATCGGCCTCGTGAGGGGCATTTTCTGAGCCACATGTTAACTATTATCTTTTAAACTTCTGAATAAATAAATTACAAATTATCGACCGGTACTGTATGTACAGCACTGCCTAAAATTCTATCTCAAAAAGGCAATTTTTGTCGAAATGATCAAGTTTCCGCGTCTGAAAATATAATTATTTCTTGTCCGTTCGGTCTGAAAAACCCAGTGATTATAAAACAAATATATTGTTTATGTAGTTTACACCTTTTTTTGTACAATTTTGATTCTATATTTGTTCTCTAATCTCTGAATGTTCAGACCAAACGTACAAGTAATAAATCCTTTTTCAGAACTGAACGATTTTCAACTAAAATTGTAATTTTGGGATAGAATTATGGCTAGAACTTTACTTCATTCGAAGAAATTGAGGATTCTAAAATTTCAAAAGTACCACTAAAATTGATGAAAAGCAGAGGAAACACGATTTTACACGACCTAGGGTATATGAGATGTCTCTTTTTTTCTTTTTATGTATTCTTTGTATACTCCCAAAATTTGATCTGTCATACATATAAAAAAAATTATACAATTTTTATAGATCAACATAGGTTTTTGAATAAGACTCAAAAAAGTGAGGAGCGGAGCGACAAAATTGCTACCAACATGACAGTGTGGGAACACTTTTATTAAAAGGGTTTACACAGTTTCAGACATTCTTAAAAATCTGAAATTTGTGAAAAACTTGTTGGGCTGTTTCTCAGAACTTCTCCGATTGAGACATTTGAATGTGAGTGAGGCAATATTTTCAAGTCTTAACTAGTTGTGAGCACTGGGCCTTTTCGAGCTGATTACGTTCAGAATTCCAATTACGAAAAATTCATTCGTTACAAAAAAGTTAATAATACTTATTGACCTTCAGCCTTTCTCTCAGCAATACGAGACTCAAATTCAGCTTTCTTCTTGGAAACAAATGCCTGATAAGCAGTTTGGTCTTCTGGAGATTGGGTCTTGATGTAGGCGTCAACTTGTCCAATGAACTCATTGAAAGCTGTACGAGCAGCTTCACGATCAATCTCAACTCCTTCGGCTGGCTTCTGAGAGGCAAAATCAGTGGCGATCTTCAGAATACCGTCAGCAGCCTGAGAAGAGATTCCGGAGGCTTGCATCTCGGCCTTGGCTTCTTCGGCTGGAAATATTTGATGTTCTGATACACTAGATCTTAAAGTTACCGGTTGGCCATCCTGGTGGAGCGCAGAAAACGGCAAGGGCAAGAGCAGAGAGAGTGACGAAGACCTTGAACATGTTTAGAGAAGAACTAGTAATAGTTGATGCCTTTTTTGGATTTCCCATATCCTTTTATATCATTCTCAAACTGTGACTTCATTAAAAATCGAAATCTGCAATGACTAATTCGCACAATCTCTATTGAACATTTGTGACCGAAAACACAAATCATGCGCGACTCTCGTAAACATTACACACTATCTAGTTGTCTACACGGAAAGGTGAAGTCACGGTTTTTTTGTTCAAAATATCGAATCATTTTTTGGATCGTTTATTTGATCAACTGTTACTGGTACTACTGCTACCGTTCTTTTTTGTGATCAAGTCAGAAATTTAAGATAGTATAAATGGATACCATGGGGTCTTGAGAAATCATCAACTACCAGTTTATCCCAAAAAATGTTCAAGGCTCTTCTGGGTGTCTCTGCTCTTGTTCTCGCTGTTTCCTGCTTCCCACCAGGATGGCCAACCGGTAACAGAACCACTCAAACCAACATTTTTTACCTGCATTAGAAGGACCCTTAACTCGATTTTTGTCAGATTTCTACAAAATTTCTTAACTAAAGAAAAACTTGTCACAATATCTCAAGAATTTCATCAGTTGGCACATGTTTGATATATCATGGCAACCAAGATAAATTAGCTTAAACTTGACAAGAGTCCTTCTAATACAGGTATTAGCTCCTAAACCCTCCTAATGTTCCTATTTCCAGCTGAGGAAGTGAAATCCGAGATGCAGGCCACTGGAATGTCTTCTCAAGCCGCTGACGGTGTCATCAAGATTGCAGTCGACTTCGACCCAAAAAAAACGTCTGAAGGAGAAAAGATTCGTGAGGCCGCTCGTGCCACATTCCATAAGTTCATGGATCAAGTCGACGCCTACATGAAGACTCAATCCCAGGCAGATCAAACCGCCTATGAGGCATTCAAAGCTGAGAAGAAAGCTGACTTTGATGCTCGTCTCGCTGAGAAGAAACTTGGACGGCAATGAGTGAATATGTAACATGGCCTAACGAGTTTCACTCTTTTATTTTTTTTTTGTGTTTGATGTTCATCTAAATTTGAAAAACTCGAGGCGTTCTAAATAAATTCATTATCATTGCAAAAGTTGAACAGTTTCATAAAATCGGACCAGTATCGAATATGTACATCAGAGATAAGTGGCCAGTATCCAAGGGTACCCGTGAATCCTGAGCCGGATGCTTGTGATCTTGATGAGATGTGAAAGAAATACATTTGACAGATAACCACTGATAAAATATGAAGGAAAAAATCGCAGGTAAAAACTCCTGCATCTTCCATTATTTTCATATTGTCTACTAACTTTGTCTCATCTTCAGTTTCATATATTTTTAAAACTATATTATTGCTAAACTTGAGAGAAAAAAATTGTCTCAAGTCGAACATTTTTGCAATAATCCTGTTAAAATTGCCGAAACGAATTAAGTTTTATTTTATGTCATCTCTTTTTTCTTTTCTTCCTCTATTCTTGAAAATTTGAAAAGTATAAATTATGTTCAATTTTGGTATATGTTTCCATGCATTTTTCATTTCTAACATACTTGCGAACCGGTCCTTGAGCTTGCTACAGTTTCTTTTAGAATCAATATTCTCAGACCACCTAAATTAAATATGATAGAACTCGACGAATACTAAAGAATGATACTATTTGGAAGACTATGTTTTGCCTATGAACAAATTCTCAGACAAAAAACAAACCGGTCCACTTTATCACTTGTAACTTTGTTCATAGACAAGGCACTGTTTTCCAAATAATATAGTCTCACTTTGTAGTACTCGTCGAGTTCTATCATAGGTATCTAAATTAGATGGTCTAAAAAAACTATTGCAGGGCCCGCGAAGGCCCGTATGATTTCTAATCTTTCATAATGTTAACAGATTACTGACAACAATTGTAGGGGATAATCCCGAATAATCTTCTTCCACAATAAAAAAAATTCGGAAAACCATGCATTTTTAGCTTTATCGATTTTTGTTTCCATTCGAAATGATGATTTTTGGTTTTCTCTAATGCTCTTCTATTTAAAGATGGTGTGCATTAAACTTTTATTGCTTCGTTTTGTACAAAAAAAGTATGTACCTCCATAAAAATAAAGAAAAATTCGATTAAATTGCCGAAGTGAAATACTTTTTTCACGAAATGAAGCAATACAATTCGCAGCTCACACCCTTTAAGTGCAATCTTTCTCTCCAGCTTTTGATTCTTTCTGATAAGAAACAACAGTTCAATCTAAACTGTATTTTTTCTGAGTTGAAGCTCATTTTTTCTTGCTTTTTCACCTATTCATTTTTTCAGATGCCCTACGCGCAGGAACACTTGGTGGATCTACAGAGAATCGAAATTGTTCGGGCCCGTATTAAATTACATGACGATTGAGATGGTATTGAGATTGAACTCCCCAGTTGGAGAAATCGATCGCATTATCAGTTATTTGAAGTTTGGAAGTTTGGACACAACAGTGAAGCATGGAAACGAGGAGTCGCCGCCAATTGAACTCAACTTCGTAGATGTTTTCGTGGAAGATTTCAAGTTGTTGTCGAAGTATCAAAAATCATATTTGACGAATTGTGATGTGAGATGTTCGCCCAAAACTCTCGAAATTTTCGCGAAGACTTGTGAAGGGAAGATGGTTTTTGAACCGATGATTTCATACGAACGAGAACTTGATTTCCCTAAAGACCCTATTGCTCGCCAGTGGGAGTACATACGATGTTTTCCTTCAGCCGACTCGTTGAGCAGAACTGTAGAGCAATTCTTTGATCCAGAGAAATTCCAAAATGTTCAGAGTTGGTTGACTGAAATGGTATTTGAAAAACGAGGTAGATATCTCATAAAGAGTTAGTGAGTTTCTATTTTGAACATTTTAAAAGTCTTCTTCTTTTAGAAACTTCCTAATCCAACAGTTCCATCAACAAGTCTCAAAAACTAAACACCCATTAACTCTAGTTTGGAGATCGCAGCACGAGCTGCGCTTGAAACTCGTTTACCGATGGAAATTATTTGGAGAGAGTTGCAATGCTTTGACATGTGAGTTTTTCTTTTTTAGGTTAAAAACATACTGTTTTGCAGAGACTTCGGAAAGTGAATCATGGGATACGAGAGTGTATTGCTTTCATAAAACCTATTCCCCACATAGAAACATATTCAGTTTCTTTTTATCGGCGTTCTGGTATTGATCTTCTTCGCACCTATAGTGAGTTAGAAAATGGCGAATTCAAAGATGTCAAATATTTTACGGACAACAATGAAGTGCGCATTTCTTACGGAAATTCATTACCTGGAACAGACTGCAAAGGCATGTGTCTTAATGATATCGAAAAGACCCTCAGCTATCAAGTGAGGTGCACAAAGGAACTAAACATATGTTACGAGTGTATTTTCAAAAGAAAAACCGGAAACATAAATGAATACATAGAAGAAATCTTAGAACAACTCAGAGAAGAGAAATCAGGTGAATTGGATACTGCAGATTTATCCAGTAGAATTGGAGACATTTTGATAAGGAGAGAAAGTCCGCTAAAAACAAGAAAATTCACAATGGGGCCTGAAGGTCAGTTGAAAGTGATGGAAATTATTCTGGCTATTGATCCCCGTTCCTTGAAGATTATTGAATTGTTGTACCCGTGCAATCAGGATTCAATAGAGAACAAAAGCGTTGAAGAATTGCCGTTTCCAGTTGATAAACTATCCGAAACACTTCAGTGGCAGAATGCGGAACAATTGGTTTCCAATTATTTGACAATAACAACACCGATTCAAGAGATTAACGTTTTTCATGTTGCTAATTTGGAGATTCTAGTGAAAACATTATCCTCTGAAGATGTGGATTACCTGAGAACTGTGAGTTGTTTTCTAGATTAGATAATTCAACGAATCATTTTCTTCCTTCAGAATCTTCTTAAATCTTCGAAGTTTCAAAAGTTTAAAATATCATTCCGTGAGGAAACGATCGACGAATCGTTGTACACGCTAATTGGACAACCCTATCGTACTGTTTGTGATTTAAAAAAAAATTGGTACTTTCCATTTGAAAATACCAATAATTACATTCACATTGTGTTGAATACACATGTCGAATCTCGAAAAGGAAACTGGATTACTCACGTACGAGTTCCAATAGAAGACACTCCATTTTTTTGAATTACAGGCGCATCAATTAGTGATTACCGTAAAACCTCTAATAGAACGACACCCGGAT